AGAAAGAGAAAAGGAGGGAGGGTAAGAGGCCAAGATAGTGAAGAGGAGAGGGTTATTTCAAGAAATTTTTGAAATTTTAGTGGTAAAAATTTAGCTTATTTACGAGTGCGCTTCATACAGCTTTATTTCCTTCGCCCTGGTATTCTTATGTATTTCTTCCCTTCATCTTATTATTATTTTATTTAAGACGGCATTTGTATAATTCCAGTTTGGAGAAGTTGAATGTTGTGAAAAAAGGGAAATAACCAAATAGTGTGCTATATGCTTAATGGATATTTTATTGTAGAAAATAAAAGTAACATTCAAAATTTAATTCTGTTTTCCTATTCGACTTCAGTTTTTAGTTGCAGGTTTTCTTCGTTAATTTCATTTCGTATAAAGGAGAAAATTTAATTAAATTTCTCATTTTGGAATATTTACCACAGAATTTGAATTTTGAATGACTGTAATAATTACATGACAAATAAAACCATTGTAGTCCAGCTAGTTTATGTAAAAAAAAATTTTGCTTTGTTTAGCTATTGTTTTATTGTCTTTTACCTGTTAATTTACCGGGAGGTCTCAGGCGGTGGAGTTATCGACAAAGTTTCTCTATAGTGTGGCTTTTAATTGCCCAACCACTAGAAAATAGGAAGTGTTTCGTTCGGTACTATAGTACTGACAGAATTATCGAGGAATCTAGGGCACGAGGCACAAAATTGATAGGGATAGACACCTTCATCACGATAATATGAAGATTTATACACTGCAGGTTTTTTCAGTCCCAACTTTGCTAATGATCTTTGTCGGGGATAAGCATGTAGCACCTAGGCCTAGGAATTCGTATGGACTGCGGAAATTTGCTGTTTCACATTAGCGCACCAATCCTATCAGCTTGATTAAATACCAAAAATCTGACAATTTTCCATTAGTCTCTTTTTATTTTTTATCCCCCAAGCAGTTATTCAAAAAATTCAGGAAGAAATCGCGAGTGAGAAGATTTCAAAGGGGAAAAACGAACAATTTAAAAAATTTTGTTTTGTATGGAAATGTTTTTTTAAACTCAAGTAAAAGAATTTTTTTTTTTTTGATTTCTCATTTTTTGTATTCTTCAGCAATCGAGAAAAGGAAGAAATTGAACGAAAATTTCGACGTCTGAACGAAAGATTTGAGCGACTGGATGCGGAGAAAAATGAAACGCAAAATGCAATTGAACGCTTGCAGAATCAAATCCAGTCGATTCATGCGTAAGTGTATAAAAAAATGAGTTCACTTAATTTTGCTCAGCTAAAGAGCATGCGCAGTGACAGGTAGCCCTGCTGCTGAGTTGGTTGTTGTGGGTTTTATCCCGCCAGCGAAACAGCCAATCCCTGTGCGGTTTATCCATTAGTTTCGATTGTAAATTGGTACTGACGCATGCCGGGGATCAAACCTGCCATCAGTTTCCTTCTAAACAGACGCTCAAAAATGGGGCCCCTTGGCAGTTTGGACAGTAATGGCTGCTGTGGGCACTTTTTACCACGCGGACTATTTTCATGCGATTCTCGTTCTTGGTGAATTTATAGGGATGAGAAGCTAGAAGGCTGAAATCATGAAGGGATGTTCCCCGTCCAAGAGGGTAATAACGAGCTCAAAGCCAGCTTCCGGGTAAGCGTGGTACTCGCGTACAGGACCGCCAAACTTTTTTTCGGGCAAGTTCATAACTCGGGAATTTGATTTTTGGGTTATTATTCACATCGTTCTTCGATGAATGTTTTTCCACTGTTAACATTTGCAGCAATCATCAGGAAACGTTAAACGAAATGCTAACGAAACAACGCGTGGAACTTGACGAGCGTCGAAAACGTTTTGAGAATGAGCTGGAGGAACGAGACATGGACAGTACACAGAGGCTATCCAATCTGAGGAATGAGCTCGAGAAGTATCGAAGTGAAATTGAACAACTCAGGGAGCAGCTACGAAATGCACTGGCAGATTGCGTTGCGGAACGTCGAAGAGTGAGTGAAAAAGGTATAAAAAAGAATTTCATTTCTGCTCTGTTTTACTTAAAATTTGCTTCCTTTAGCGGGAACCCAGGAAAAGCCGGCAAAGAAAAATTCGAGACGGAAGAAGAGTACATTGCATAAGAGAGCCGATATACACAGAAAAAGGAAATGCTCCTAGGCTTTTCCTTGGGTGCAAGGGTCGGTAGTGTAGTGGTCTAGCACGTCGCATCCAAATGTGAAGCGGCAGGGTCGGTTCTTTTCCGAACTCTGCTCGTTTGCAAAAGAGTCCCATCCACGATACCTTCTTGGTGTTGTATACTATGGCAGAAATTGTAGCACATATTTATTTCATAGCCTAAACATATTATTTAAGCATGTACATATCAAAATTCTAGGACACTTGGAATGCTTGCAGCTGCTGCTAATTGGTGGTCTACTTTTCATACTTTTTTGCTTATATGTAAATTGCGGAAACGCACATTGCAACGACCCTGTCTGTGTGTGTGTGTATGTGTGTGTCTGTTTATTCGCACTTTTTGTCACTCACTTTTAACTCGATAACCTGAAAAACTTTGCGAGTATGTACCCATACCATGCGCGACTGTCCCGTTTTGATATCATCTTCCGCAATAAGCCTGGGTACCACGTACGGACGCCTTAAAAAATATGCAAATTTTTTGGCCGGAAAGCGATCTCGAGAACTAGACAAAATAAGGGGTTGAAACTTTGTAGGGATGTTCCCTGTGCATATTTGAGCTAAAGGTTTAAGCCCCGAGGTATGTGTGGTACTTACCCAAGGGCGTATGAAAGTTTTAGGAGGGGGATTTCTCAGGGACCAGAAAAGCTGAAAAGCTGAAATTTTGAGATAATGTCCCCTGCCCAAGTACAACTTAA